TCTGTCTGTCTGTCTGTCTGTCTGTCTGTCTGTCTGTCTGTCTGTCTGTCTGTCTGTCTGTCTGTCTGTCTGTCTGTCTTTTCAGTTCTACATAGTTTCTCTTTTGGAATTCTTGTCACTTTTCATAGGAAAATATTCTACAAAATTAAATCAGTTGTTTTTAGAGTAATGAATTTGAAAAATAACCTGGCAACTCAGACTGATCATGTGTAGCATTCAGGTTTAGTTCTACACGTTATGAATCTGGGACTGTTGCAATCTACTTTGTCTGGGGGCAGAACCTTTCAAGCTGATTGACAAAGTGACAGGATTTGGTACAGTAGCCCACCTACTGTACCAAAGTTCAGTTTTAGCCAATCACGGTAACAAATGAAATAGCAGCAGATACAATGATAAACCACATCAACTGATGCTTGTTACAGAGTTGTTCCTTTTTCAAATATCATATTGTGTATTCTGACAAAACAGATAGCTGTGATGGCAGCAGATGTTTTGAGATACCAAACAACTTAGACTTGTTTGATCTTGCTTTTCCCCCTTCAAAGATGAGGTTGTGGATTTTGATGAGACAGATATGATAGGAGCAGCTACCCGTACGTTGTCCTGTGCAGCCATGTTTATCATGGTTCAGCTGTGGACTCTGCAGCTTTTGCTGTTTTCACAGCTTCTTCCTTTCCTGCCTTATACTATAATAATAAGACATGTTTGTCAGACCTGTTTTGGGTCCTGGGTTCACCAGTTAAATATGTGAACACTGAGAAATCAGCTTACAGAGCACAATTCTTAAAAGCATGAGCATGAACCCTATTTGATTAACAATTTTTTTAAAGAATTGAGAATGTTTCTTACAAGACCTTAATTTACCTTTGGTTTTAACGAGCCTCCTATTAGTTACAGGTCCCACTCCTTGAAGAAAGAATACAATTAAAAAGTTACATTTATTTAATTAATTAATTCAAAATACTTTTGAATCATTACAGGTTAATATTTTCCAAAAGTAATATTTTTCCAAATTACTTAATTTCAGCTGCTGGTGTTGTCCACTGTACCTGGCAATTTTGTAACATTGCACACATTCCTGCACTTTTTTTGTACTGTCACTGAAATAATTCACCCACATTTTAAGAGTTATATAAATATATTAAATAACAAATTCCCATTTACTTTTTTCCCCAGACAATTTTAACACAAATTTATTAAGTAAACCTTATATAATCCATATCCATTTGTACAACAACACATATTTATCTAAATTACAAAATCATCAGGTCTACGATTTTCGTAATAATAAAATATACTTACTCAAATATAATACTACTAGCGTAATTATTTCAAATACACACATTTTATTGTTTGAATAGCATAAAGGTAACACATTTCAAACAAATAAACTTACACTTAGAAGTATTTTTTTAATCAAGTATGCTTTATTAATTTTAAATACATAAACCTGACATTTATGTATTTTAATTAAATGATTGAATTAATGAATATGGATCATCTAAGGTTTATTTAATAGGTTTGTTATAAATAAAAAAAGTAAATGGGAATTTGCAATGAAATAAAATTACATAATTCTAAAAATTTGGGTGAAATATGTGTGGATGGCTGTTTCTCTAAGTGAATATTTGCAAAGCTCTGCTCTCGCCCAATACAGAAAGGTACAGACTACACATTTGGCAGTAGATTAATGTTTCGTTTTTCAGCAGATCCATCCACATTAAATAAAGTATCAATAGGAGGTTTAATGACCAAGGTATTAATATGTGAATGGCCAAGTCAGTAGCCTACTTAGAAAGGTATGAATGCAATTATGTAAGTTCCTGTTCTTGGATTCGATAACTGAAAACATTTAAGCTTTAACACACATTTTAATTTAGTTGCTAAAACTTTCCACAGATCCTCCTTCAACCTGACGTGAAATAATTCACCATAGAGTATTTTGCCTTGTTAATTAAAAAAAACTTGCTGAGAGTTAAGTGAGAATTAAAGGTTAACTTAAGAGCATTACGCAATTTTCACCATCATCATTACCTGAGAGACATTTACAGGCACGTGCTTAAAAATGTAAGTTTTTTTTTTCCTATTACATCGTTAAACATCCAAAGGAAAAGAGAGCCGCCGTCTGAGGCAAAAAGGTGGAAAGTGAGATGCTCACAGTCGTAGCCAGAGGGCGGTGGCATGTCTCTCTCTCTGCGTAAACGGAGACTGTGGCTGAATGGAGAGAGCGCACGGAGAGGAGAGGAGAGGAGAGGAGAGCGAACAGCAGCGCGGCTGACACAACCGACCAGTCATTTCTTCCACCTCACTTTCAACCGGCTGCAGCTTTACTCACAGACCCTGGAACTATATCAGCTTTACATCCACACTTGGCTTCGGACTTCATCAGTAGATCTTGTGCTGGAGAAGCGGAGGGGGATCCTTATTTCCCCTCAACACCTCCACATTGGACGGAGGAGTTGTGTGTGTTTGTGCGCGATCCGCCGTGTCTCCTCTGTAATGGACAAAAGTGGACCGAGGAGAGAAGTACTACGGAGGGGTTCGAGTCTGCTGAGAATGTGCGCCACGCCGGGGATCCTAGTTCTCTTGGTGCTTACACGCGCAGGAGTCGCTCAGGGTAAGGCATCAAGAGCGTCTTTTATAACTGCACCTTCCCACGTTAAAAAAAAGGCACCAACATTCAGCTGCGTTTTAACTGTGGCAGAAGTAGCTTGACGCATCTGATAGTTGTGTTTATCTGAGTTGATGCCGATGTGTCCGTCAGCATCGAGGCTAGAGGCGCATTTGAGTTGGAGCGTTCCCCCCTCTGTGTTAGAAGGATTCCTTTAAACCTACTTTTTGCGAAAGAAATCGGAAATATCTGAAGAATTTAGTTAAATATTTCTGAGTGATCGTTTTTGCGCTTGGTAACTGTTTTAATAAATAAAAATAAACAGACTAATACACTTGCAACTTAAGCAGAAACTCTGAAGACAGCGTTAGGGATTCACGCTCAGGCCACTGATGTAATTTAGGAGCACTTTGCAAAAATAAAAAAAATGCAATGCTTTAGTGCCCCGTTTTGGAAACTGATCCAGAGTGGGCTTTAAGCTGGAGGACACCCGTCAAAAAGCTTCTAGGCAATTAAAGATCTCACACTCTGCTGGACAGCTCTCTGCTGAGAGATCAACCGTAAATGCTATAAGATCAGAGCAGTTTACCGTACTTACATGCTTACATTTGATTATATCCTCCAAAATAGCTCTTGTATATGTTAGGATTGGGAAATGATGAGTCCACCTGATACACCCCCAAATGTACCAGGGGATAAACGGGATATTGAGGTGAAACTTCATCCAATACGGCTGTTGGTAATTGGTAAATAGACTTTCTTCTATTTAGTTATTTAATTTTTATCTGCAGGAAGTGGGAAATTGTATTTTTTACTTAGCTAAATACTACTTTAAACAAACTGCCTTATTAATCTCATTTGTCTTGTCAAATGCTGGCCTTTGCCTTCACTGATCTAATGTCCTGCTCTAGTATGACTATAATATTCCACTTGAAAAGCTGTTAACAGAAAAGCACACAGTAATTTACCCTGTCCGCTACAGGATGCAGTCCATAAATTGGTATTGACATTACAAATTGGCCGAGGGCTTTTGTGCTGCATTTGGGAAGTAATTGGACATGATGTTGTCGCTACCTTTCTCTTGTTGCCTGGAGTTAGTTGTTACAGCAACTAACTCCAGTATTCATTAGAGTAATTCTTCAATGGTTTGCAGTCAAATCAATAGGTTGCAAATAAGGGACACAATTTGAGCAGGTGGGAGGGATAGCATCCCTACAACATTGTTCAGTTTAAATTGACATCTTTTCAAGGAAGCGGATAAGTTGGAATAAAAGCTGTGCTTTGATGCATTCCTCTTGTAGCTCCAGGTTTTATTCTTTTGTCTCCCCACTATGTTTCTACCTTGCCAGTTATGTTTGTGTGTCTGTTCCAAGCAACTCACAAAGTGTCTCTGAAGCTGTTTCTTTTTGAGCACTAGTTAGCTTTTCTACTCACAAACAACCTAACTGTTGGGAGGGGGTTGTTTTCTATAGATTACTCTTTTTTTCTTGACGCATTGTTGCAAAACTACTCACAGGTTTAGAATACAAATGTTGCAAATACAAATATTTATTTTCATCCTATATCACTAAGTACCTTATGCCTCTCAATCTTAATCATCTTTACATCTGAAACTTTTCCAGAATTTGCACTTGAATATCGATTTGCACTGCCGACTGTTTATATTTGCACTGCCGACTGTTTATTCACAGTACCAATTGTTTACATATACATTTGCAATAACCTACTTTAACTGTAATATGCAATTACCTTCCACTGCACTTTAATTTAGATAGCTTCTGTCCAAACTTTATTTATTCGTTTTATAGTAAAATCCATCTGTATATTATGCTATTGTACATAACAGTAAAAACACTTTTTATAGTAATATCCACCTGTATATTATATTAGGTACATATCCAGCTGTAAATTTAGTTCATAACACTAGTTATCTATATATTATATTGATCTATTAGTAAGATTCTGTTTATAATGGTATTCATCTCTATACTTATTCAGTAGAAACCCATGTCCTGTATTTATGGAACCATTATTTATCCTGCTCTTGCTCCTATTGCACTTCTGGTTAGACCTAAACTGCATTGCGTTGCCTTGTTCCTGTACCTGTGTAATGACAATAATCTTATGGTTAGGATGATGGTGTTTGTAAAAATTACTCTGGCAATGGTGTCGATTAAAATCCAGTGATAAAGCAGGCGACCTTCAGTTAGTATTCCTTTTTTTTTTTGTTTCAAATACGTAAGGTTTATTAAGAGCATTAATGTACAAACAGTACTCGATTTGAGGGGGGATGAGGGGGGGTGGCATCCCCCTTGTTAAAAAAATCTTAAAAATCATTCCCCTTCTTGAATGACCATCCCCCCATACCATCTTAAGTGACACTGTATTAGTGAATGTGTAAAATTTATACTCTATATTAACAGTAATGCTAATGATATTTTTCTTGCAACATTTGGCGGGCTGAGGACTTACAAGTAGCCTGAGTAAAATAAATAAAATCAAAGAAGTGTCCTACCATGACTATGAAGCTGATCACTGTGGCAAATTTGTCCTCTGCATTTGTCTCTAACTATGTGGGAGCAGTGATAGCCATGCCAGTCCTGGGACTGACAGCAGTTCTACTGGAAGGTAGAACTGAACAGCGTACCTGACAAGTAACAACAATACAATGCATATTGCTTTAGGTTAATAGACTATATTAATTAGGCTATGTATGCTTTTTTTTTTTTACAGCTAGATTAGTGTGTACAAATACTTTAAGGTCAGTTTCATCTAATACCATCATTTCATTTTATGTCTTAATGAATGTAATGATTTTATTGCACTGTAGACATATTCCTGATTCATGCTCTCCTTTAAACACACAAGGGAAGGAGGAGTGCTAGTTTAGATCCATTCAGGGCAGCTTCAGTGCATGTAACTACTTTCTGACCAAGCCCGTCCCACAAGTCGTTGAGCTATTATAAAGCCATTAGCTGAGCGCATTTGTATTTGATCGAGGGTGAATGGGTGTAACTGTACTTAACAATTATACAAGTCATTCTTGTATATCATTATGGGAAAAATGCAGAGTAGACATATTCCATGATTAATTTCATATGTGGTAATTTGGAAAACCCTTTGGTGTACTGTGGTATTGCACATCCAATTATATTTCAAACTGTGATGTGATTTGTTGTGTTTCTTTTTTGTTTAAATTTCCTAGAAACAATTTCCTAAATGAACATCTATTTTCAGATGTAAAAGACAATTAATATAACTACTTCCACTTTTTTTTTTTTTTACACCTTATCTCTATTTTACTAAGCAGTTTGGTTTTTCACTCATAATGAAAAATAATATGCTCAGTGGCTGCTTGATGCACTACTGAGATGAAGTTTGCAGTCTCTGAGTATATAGCAATTGTATGCCTCAAAAGAAGAAGTATAGCTTTATTGTTATTTTACATTTAGTCATATTTTAAGGATTAAATTGAGTTTCTTTAGACAACATCTTTTTTGTGAGGGGGATGTTCGTAAGATATATTTAACATATATTGCTTAATTGCTTAATTAGTGTCTGCTAATATTAGTGAAAACAAATGCACAATAGTTACTAGACTATTGTAATTTTTTTTAACATTTAAAATACAGCCAGAAAAAAAAATATCTACAAAAGTAGTAGCCTCCATTAAAGTAATTACTTTAATGGAGGCTACTACTTTTGTAGATATTTTTTTTTCTGGCTAGATTTTTTTTCCATCAAATTACTAAAAAGATTTGTAATATCAGTCTTACTTGGATCCATGGTACAGTATTCCCAAAAACCTTTTAAATAGGCTTGTTTCCTCAGCTTCGAATAGAAAATACTGTAGCTGCTGTCAGGCGGCAGTACCCTTAAGATTTATGGAAACAAAATTGTCAAGACGATTAACATGAACATCACCAGAGAGGTGGGTGGTAAGATCGTACCAAAACAATTTGGTTCCTATTTTTTTCCCAGTGTTTATGATTTCTGTTGGAAATTAATGAAGAAAATGAGTTGGGGGAAAAAAATGGGAAAGACAGAGAAAAATGTTACATTATTTCTTCACTAGTTGTTTGGTTTATTTAGAAAACACATTAGAAAGAGAGTCTAGCTGCAGACCTGCAATGTCAGGACGCTTCATTGCAGACACGCACTTTGAGGTGTCCTGGGTGTCAAAACTGGAAGTTTACTTAAGCATTTCAAAGTAAAAGCGTAATAAAATAAAAGCTAGTGAACTGGCAATATTTTACATTTCTGTGTTTATTTCCTGGTGCTTCACAATAGAAATATTTTTGTCTATTCATGTGTTTAATGATTTATATTTAATATCTCTCAAGTTCAACTGGATAAGGTTAAAAAAGGCAAGAAAATATTAAATAAATAAATATTCTTTTATAACGGCATCTCTAAGTGTGTTTATTTTTTTTAACACTGTTTGTACTATATTCTTACCTTTGCTGTTGGACCACAGATTTTCCGATGGAGGGTGTGTGATTTCAAATTAACTTAGCTTTGTGAACTCACAGTGGTTTACCTAATACCTAGATATATGGCCAAAATAGTCAATAACTTCTTTTTCTTTTGTTTCCCATGACATCGAAGAAAACAGACAGGAAAAAAAACATTCAATTGTCTATTTTATTTTATTGGAAGTGTTTCTACTGTCGAAACAGCAGATTCCACTGCATGAATTGCAGTGTTTAACTTTTGTCTAAGTTACAGCGGGAGTCACATTGAAACATATAGATAATGTTGTAATAAGTTAAAGAAAATCACCCCAAAACTGTGATGAAACACAGTGTTCTTGGTCTTTAAATGGGGAAAAGGCACATTTAAGTGAACACTCACCTCAAGCACTCACCTCGAAAAAGAATTATTCTAATAAAATCCGGCAGCACATATGTGCTATGTGCTATTCGTAAAGGCTTAGACTACAATGATACTTTCCAATCACTGGAAATTTTTAGATTGATATTTGCAATTTTTCTTCAGTTTAAGTT